GTTTGTTTGTCACAAACCTGGCCACGAACATCTCGGCCAGGCCTTGCCAGCTTTTCACAATTTCTTTCGGCAACTTGTGAAACCAGTCTGATGCGATTTCCCCAAAGGATGAGGGAAACACTTTGCAAAGCAACAGCTCGTTCCCAGTGTACAGTGCCATTGAGTTCAGGTACAAGCCGACATAAAAGTTAGGGTCAGACTTCCCGTCGTATATCTGGAACCTCGGCATGTTGAATCTTTTCGGTGTCTCAAATTTGTCCAACTCCACCGAGAACGGCGTTCTTGGCTTGACCGGAGAGGTTACCTCAGCATCTTGTTGCTTTCTCTGGAGGTAATCCCTTAGTTCCTCCTTTGGTCCGTCCAGGAGCTCGGTTATCAATGGATTTCAGCCTTTTTGGTGTGTTACTCCCGGTGTCGTTATGAGTCCTCTTGGATCTCTCTCCGTTAGTTGCGTCGAAACAAAGTTCCTTTCCTTGAACATGCCGATGTTCTTTGGGAACAGCTTCTTTGGTATAATGTGTCCTCTGAGAATCTTCCTTCATTGACTCTCCTCACTCGACCTCCCTTGAAGGCCGATGAGAGTGTTCCTTGGTCCTGGTGTGCTGGGGGACTGTAGGGACTGTTTTCTGCCCCCCTTTTCTGGGCATTGTTCCTGGCCACTGGAATCGGCGTGTCTTGTAACGAAAATGATGGTTGTATGACATTATTCTGCATCATGAAATTGACGATTGATTGCAGGTTTGCCAATTTATTCGTCATTCTCTTCATCTCTCCGTCCCTCCGCAGGCATCAATCTTTTCATACCTGGAGGTCGTTCTCGTTATAATACCCGCATTGGTCTACCTTCTTTGGTACGTCTCCCTCTTGGCCGACGTCATTCTCTCCAGGATTCTGATCCCGAGTTTCTTCATTGCAATTATCCTCCTCTATGTTGGGATCCAAGTGTTTACCACTTCCAGTAGGGATGTCGTCCCTGATCTTCTCTTTTTGTCCGTCGTTGGCCATTTATTCTCCTTTCTTTCCCACAGACGGTGTCAAATTGTGTGTGTTGATTTCTGATCACACTGCCAAATAGGTACTCAGCTGGAGAACACCGGCAGAATAGATTGCGCCTGAACGACCTGTCATAGAAAGAAAAGACTCCGGCGGTGGTTCTTCCACCCGGGGGCACTTCGATGATCAAGTCAGTAATCAATATCTCCCAAAGATAACCAATTATGCTTAACTCTTAAGCCAGAATACCAAAAGCGTACCTTAAACCCACGAGGGTGTCTTACTTTTATAGCCAACACTGACCTAATCCCTATAGAAGCCTAGCTTCAATGGACTCTGGCTCAATACTTATCTTGGATTCTCAAATAGATAGAGATAAACTCCCTAAGAGCTTTATCTTTATCCAGATTGAGGTTCTCTCCTATTCTAGGACTCTTGTCCCTTATCCGTTCATCTCGGATTCCGATGTCTCTACAAATAACCTCGTCCTAGCCGAGATCACCTCGACGCCATGACCAGGACACGTGGCACCTCGGCTGACACTTCGGTGCCACCTTGGCTACATGTTGTCATTCACAAAATATGTCCCCACACATAGTATGGGTAATATAGTAGTTCTAACAAATTTACAAGATAAGAGCATTATTGAAAAAATGCTTTAAATTTTGAACTTACGTGTAATGATTACTTGTCCTTTAAAAAAGTTAGAATTCCCAAAAGCGACTAACAAATTAGAAAGGATGGAGTACAGTTTATGAAAAAAAATCTAATTTTTAGAGACAATTTAATAAAACAAAAAAAATGTGATAATTAAATTAGAGGACTGCTATTAGCACCTACATATTTTCTTAGGAACCCTCACTTCTTTGAACACCCACCTAACAAAATGAGTTTCTCCATTTTCTTTTTGAGCCCCCACCTTAATACCAACTATACCCTTTCCCTAACCCAACCTCCCAACCCAACCACTGTCACCTCCAGCCACATCTATTCTCCGTCATCCCTATCTCCAGCCACCAACCTACAACATGATTAAAAAAAAAAAAATCCACACAAGAAGAAAATAAAATATAATGCAATCCAAAATCCATAAAAGAGTACAAAGAGATCTCAATATAGAAAAATAGCATCGAAACCCCAACATAAACAGATGTGAAGTTGAATTAAAACCCTACTCAGTTTCAACAAATGAGATTTTCTCATTGGTGGTAAGAGCAGGGTCAACAGTGGGAGGCGCGGTGGTATCATTGGGTGTAGATCTGGAGACAGATCTGGACTTGACAGCATTGAGCATGCATCTGCTGATCTCGTTGAAGAAGATTTGGAGGATCTTGATGTTGTTTCATCAATAGAAACAGAGGCAGCGACAAAGGCCTTGTCCTCAATGCGGTGGGCTGTGGCGTCAGCCTCGTCGTGGGACATGGATCTGTAGTGCTTGGAGAGGACAGAAGGCATGAAGAGGGTTTCGATGGGGTAGTTGACGATGGTGTCGCGAGTGCGTTGCGACGGAGGCCATATATTGAAAGATATGTTGGCCATTTTCTCTGGTTTTTTGGACTCTTCGTGGGGCTGCTTTTAGGGTTCAGTGTCGGCCATTGTTGGGGTTGTAGTTATTTTTGTGATAGTGGGGTGGAGGGTGGTTGGATTTGGTGATGGTGGGGAAGTTGCTGACCAGAATGGAGGTGGAGGTGGGGTTGGGTTGGGTTGGTTTGGGATTAGGGTTAGGATTGGGGTTAGGGTTGAAGGGATAGAGATAGGGTCAAAAATGAAAATTGATGTTAGAGTAAAATTGTAATAAAAAAAAATATAAAAAAGATGAGGACAAAAATAGGAGCATTAGAGCATCTCCAACCCAATCCTCTCACCAAGAGGATGAAAATAATTTTTTTTATTCAAAAAGTAATTATAGAATATGTTACTATTTATTCAAACTCCAACCACAAACCTTCAAAACCTTTCATCCTCCCTTCTTCAAAAAGTAATTTTTGTTCATTAACAAATATTTAATTTTAAAATTTTTGTAAAATATATTTAATATTATACTCATTTAAATGTATGATTTCACATTTTTTAATGATGTCAATTTTGTAAAAATTAAATTTATATATTAAAAGTTATTTGTAATATAATAAAAAATATAGAAAGAATAGTGTTATAGAGATGATCCTTCATGTTTCATACTCCCTTCAAAATTTGAAGGATGAAACATCCATCCTCCCAAATGGAGGAGGATATAGAGGGCGGGTTGGAGTGAATTTTTTCAAAAGATTCTCTATATTTGAAGATATAGAGCCTCCGTTGGAGATGCGCATAGCAGCCTTTTTAAATTAACCAAATTTTTTTTCGGGACTTGAGTAGGCATGCAAATCCCTCAATTTTTTTAAATTCAAATAAATATGAAAGAAAGATAACCTTACTGATGGCATATGAGAGCTTCTATAACTATCTTCTTTTTTCATAATTTTTTAATATTTTTAAAAAAAAATTTACACCAAAGTTTTTTGAAAATTGATTTTTTTTGGTTTCATAATTTTTTGTTTTTAGTGAATATTTTTTAAATTTTAAACTTTTTTTTTACTTTTTTATATGCATCTTACTTAGATGTATCTAAAAAGTAAAAAATTTGTGAACAAAAATTTTAAAAAATTAAGAAATACATAAAAAACAAAAAATATATTGAATTCTTGTATTTTTTTGTATTTTTGGTATTTAGTGAATTTTTAAAAGATTTTTTTATAATTTTTTTACTTTTTAGGTGTATTTATGTTAGGTGTGTCTAAAAAGTAAAAAAATTGCTTAAAATATTAAAAAAATTCAATAAAAACAAAAAAACACGAAAAATAAGAAAATAAAATTTTCTAAAAAATATTTTTTGAAAAGTGAAAACAAGTAAGGCGATTATTTTTAACCACTTTTTGTCTACATTACCACTTTTCTTTCGTATTTGTATAGATATTGCCACTCTTAAAGGAGTGTAGGTGTTTAGAAAGTGGGTGTTTTTTTTAGGTTTTTTTAGTTGTAAGATATTATAGGAGAAATTTTTTTTTGTGTTTGGAAAGATAGTTGGGTTTTTTTGTGATTAAGGCCTCGTTTGGGAACAGGCTAATTTAGTAACTTTTTGATTATTTGGCTAAAATATGAGTTAAAAAAAATTAGTATGTTTGGGATGACTTTTTGGCTTTTTACGAAAAGATGTGCAAAAAGTAAAGAGAAAAGAGAATCTTTGACTTTTTTGTATGAGTTGTTGACTTTTTGGCTAATTTAGTAACTTTTTAACTTTTTAGCTAAAAATGAGGGTTCCTATACGAGGCCTAAATGTTATGCTTACGAGAGAAAAAGTGAAATGATTATAGGGTTTAATATGATATTTTGTTTGAATTTATTTTTTTATTTTTTGATTTTGTAAAACATTTGTCTTATAGTGAAAAAAAAAAAAAAAAAAAAAAAACCCACAAATCAAGTTCCCAAACACCGCCTAAGTGAGACTTGTTCCAATAAAATTAACTGTAATTCATATACATGAATTTTACTTAAAGTTCATTAATTTATAATTAATTTCTTTATTTTTTTAATATTTTCTCTTATTTAAGGTTGTTTTGGAAACCAACTATTTTAATTAAAATTTTAACTTTTTAAGAAAAAAATAAAAGTAGAGAGGAATTAACTTTTTAGTAATAACTTTTTGACTATTTTAATAGGATTTTGTTTAGAATGATATAAGTAAAAGACAAAAAAATTAAATAATATAAAATATTTTTATTAAATTCAATGCACTTTTATTAAAATTAATACATTTTTAATCTTTTAACATATTTTTAAGACATTTTTGTTACACAATCCACAACATTAAACAATGCCTTAGAAGCAATTGTTAGCATTTGCCATTTTAGTACACTCCCAAACTTGCCTTTAAGATATGTGCGAGTGGAAATTGTTTTGGCTATATCTACATTTCTTCTCTCGCACTGCAAAAAAAAAAAAGGCGATAAAATTAACTGAATAAGCAATACAAAATGAAATTGGATATGTATATAAGGTATCAAAATTTGGATATGTACATATGAAGAATAATACTGCAACCAACTCCAATACAAGAATGAAATTATGATGCTATAAATTTCGATTGCTAGTTTTCTGTACATCAAAAGATTCTTCGACACAGCTTATGCTTCGAGTGCTTGAACAAGTATTCAAACAGAGACCACATATATCATAACTATAACAGAATGAGAGGCGCAAAAAATGAATCTCAATGCTCGAAGACAAGTACCAAGGCCTCCCGGTAGACCTCTTTCAGTTCCAAAATTGCTAGCACGAGTTCATTGACCACGTCAGTGACTGCCCTTTTCTTTAAATGTTCCTATTATCAGTGTCGGTTGAATGTCAATAACCAAAATGCTTTGATGCTGCTAGCAGTAGAGGTTGCAAGGCGCTCGGAGCAAATTTCCGTGCAAAAAGGAAGCACACAGAAGATGGCTGGTCATTATAACGACACGTGTGACCTTCTAGAACTCTCTTCAAGAACTCCACCGTGATATCAGCTTTTCCAAAGGTAGCCGGGTGGGCCCCACCCCTCGACCAGTCCACCCAAGTGATGCTTCTATTTGCCAAGAGATTTGGCGCTTGAATCGTCAACATAGTCGGGAAGTAATGCTCATCCACATAGCATGCGGGCTTACAAAACTCTTCAAATTTTGGGTAAAATGTTGTGTCTTCCACAATGTGAATTGCGAGCTTTCGGTTAATTTCGAACCATTGCGATCCTTTACGCCACTGTGTAATGTTGACCTCAGGTAACATGTTTTGGTTGTAACGTCCTCTCCCGAATGGTCCCGGGTCGTCAAATGCGCCGACAAAGCTATGCTTGGATTTCATAATATAATGGTAGGTGACGCTGAAGTTGTAGAGAGGAATGCATGATTCGGAGAGAAGTACAAACCACTCGTTGGTAATATCAAGCAATGCATTAGCTACGAGTCTTCGCTCCGCATCACACATACTCATCTTCCCCCATTCTGATACCTGAAAATAAAGAACAGGATTCATCAACTATTCATTGGAAATTAATAAAACCAAAACAATTAGATAATATATCATCAGCCTATCGAAGATTCGAGAACTCAAATAAATAAACAGTTTTATAAAATCAGTGCACAAGTAAACTGATGTTGTACACTCAAAAGGGAAATTGACAGAACTCACAAACACAAGCACTCACTGACCAGGACACACCACACTAACTTTATCTCACCACTCATCTCAATGCCCCACTGGGTGAAGTTCTCCGTGTTTATAGCGTAGGGTAGTTGGTATATCATAATGTAAGGGCAAATCCTGGCCTTCCATATGAGCAAGGATAAAATTTGGGGTGCAGACTTAAGGTAGCTGGATATGGGTTAAAATAAAACACTAATTTTAGATAAAGGGAATATAAAAATGGTATTTGATACAGTTTATATCAGATCACAAAATCTGAATCAAATAATACTTCTATCCCAAGACAAAATAAACCTATCTTAACCCTATCTCGTCATCTGCGCACCAATCATGCCCTTAAGAGTATATGACCTCACAATGGATGTTGGTAGCCTCTAGAATCTTTCCATAATCAAACCCAATACTTCCTACCGTAGGTAGTCTCTGACTAACCAATTCGAGATGTGTGAATGAAAGCATCCTTTGTGAAGTTCCCTTGAGAGTGGGAGAGCCTTCAGAGCGTGTATACTATAAATATTTTTAATTTATTTTTAATCTTTTACGTAAAAAACTATCATAGCTGCTTGCTTGGTAAAGAAAATATAAAGCATATTAATAATAATAAATTCTTACAGCAAAATTTATGTCTTGCGATGGTCTAGTGGTTAAAATTGGCTTACTCATGTGTGACACATGTACGTGGTCTCATGTTTTTAATCCCAACCCCAACAATTTTTTACTCAGCTTGATATGTTCAAGCATTGCCCTGAAAAGGTAGGTGAAAAATGAAGCTATATAGAAGGTTATCATTGGCTAAAATAGAATTCATGTATAATACATAGATTTTCTTTTTGATGAATATATAATACGCAGATTAGACTATATGAATACACAAATTTGTGCTGAATTGAAGAAAAATTTGCCAGTTCACGCACCAGAGCACAATTCAACTACTAGTTCTGGCAAATTAGGTGCCGTAGGATAGCCTTAGGTCTTAGTTTCCTAATCTAATCCTACATCCATATTTGAGTTTTTATGCTATCACCCAATATGCATGTAAAATGGGTCTGGCAGGGTTGGGCCTCAAGCATAGCCTGGGCTCTAGCTAGGCAATCGTTTTTTTTTTTATTGTTTTCATTTTTCACAGAGATTCAAAGACCTTTGTGCAGGCCCTACCCAAGGGGGCTAAGAAACACCAACACTGAAGGTGGTGTGTCGGTGTTCTACACGACATTAATCAGACACTTTCCAACAATAGCCAGACACATGTCGAAATATGTCCTATTTTAAAAAGATTCTAGACTCAGACACGTTTTAGGCATGAACACGTGTCTATTGTTAACACACAAAAAAAACACATTACAAATCTTAATAAAATAACTTATAATCTAATAATAAAAGAAAAACACAATAAATTTATACATGCTCTCTTCCTTTAGAGTTTAAAAATTATTATTTTTGAATTAAATATTCATATATATAATATATACTAATTGTTTATCATTATATATGCCATATAATAAATATATAAAACTATATATTTCGCATGTGTCTCCCACATGTTGTGTTCTGCATTTTTATAAAAAAATCCGTTAACACTTGTGTCTGTGTCCATGTCCATGTCCATGCTTCTTAGCAAGGGGGTCCAAACCTATGTTGGTAGGCAAGGCTTGGGCCAAATTTACATGCCTAACACTAAGAAATGTAGGTGTATCTTTTAATGTTTTATGAACACAATATGACTAAAGTTTTAAGAAATGCAACACACTATGACTAAAGTTCTAAGAAATGCAGGTGTATCTTTTAATGTTTTATAAACACAATATAAGTTTAAATGCACGTTTATCCTAAAATCAAAATCAGACAGACAGGTAAAAGCTCACATCAAATATGAAGGAATTGCTCAATTCTAGTTACTGCTTGACTAATTTTGAGATGTTTTTCCCCTTCTTGCCATGCTAACAAGCTGGAAATGTTAGGGACCTCAAAGATAAAAATGTATGAGGCAGGCTTTGATTTATAGGTGGGCAGACCATAACAATGGCCATTTTGGTCAAACATGAGCATAGTCAAGGTAATGGGCCTCGGTTGAAAATATGTGACCAACCCAAAAAGCCCATATTGCTGCCACACAAACAACAGGAGTCCATTGGGTCTTCCCAAGCCCGCTCTGATGGGGGAGATCAGGCCTTGGTGAGTATTGATTATTTGTATTCTTCTGATTGCTCTCCCCCCTCTTCTTTTGGTCTTTCGTTTCTAGGAGAAAATGTTGTGGAGTTGTTGGATATTGGGAAGGACTGAGGGAGGTAGTGGCAAAGACCAGGAGCCTTCCCTCCCTTTGTTAGAATTTCAATGGATGTGCAAAAGGAGGGAAAACTGCCATTGCACTGGTCAGAAGTGGTGAGAAGAGATCTCCATTGGGGGTGGATGGGGTAGTAATTAAAGTTATTTGGTTGGAAAATGGGATGCAACTAGCTCTGGAAATCAGGGATGAAATTATATACTCAACGAGTCTATTGGAAGCAATTTGGTCAGTTTCATTAGCAGTGGCACCCAATATCAGAGGCAGACTTCCGATAGTGCACTCTGATCAAGAGTTGAAAACTATATATAATAATTGCTTGTTAGTACTCTCCAAACAATTTAAAGAATCTATTGCACAGTTTTGTGAAGGGGGTAGACTTTGATGAAGATAGTCAGGACACAGTCTGCTTAGGTGGCAACCATTTTGAGGGTTGTGGCTCGTGGCATGGACAACAGGGAAGTGAATCTGAAATGGAGGTGGCAAAGTCTTTACAGTTTACAATGTTATCTGGTTGCAGTAGTCTGTCCTGGCGGGTGGGAAAGGCTTGGTGGTGTCTTCTGAAGGGGAGAGTGTGAATTTGGAAGACCTGAGAGAAGCGGGTTATGATCCAATTGATATCTCTGACTGGGTTATAAAGCGGATTGCGGGGCTTTAGCAAATTAATGGACATGTCTTGTGTGGAGGAGAGAATGCACTTTTTGAGGCATAGCACAATCCGAATAGGGAGCCAATGAGGAGTGGGGTTACAAAGAAGAAAGTTGGGTAGGGAATTGAAAAACTCAGAATGCAATATGATGGAAGGAATGAAAGTGGTTGTGGGACAGACAGTAGTAATGGGAAGGGAATTATCTGTATAATAACCATCATTAACTATAATGTTTGGGATCTGAATGTGATAGAGAAGCGTGTGGAAGTCAAGTCCTTCCTCAAAGATTGAAGGTGGATGTGGTGTGCATTCAAGAAACGAAGATGGAGTAGTTGAGTGCTGTGGTGGTGTGCAGCATTTGAGGGACAAGTCTGTGGATTGTGTTCATTTAGGGAATTAGTGTGGTGCGGGTGGGGTCCTCATTATGTGGGACAGGAGGTTGTGTAAAATAGGGGATGTTATCTTTGTCCTGTTTGTTTAAATGTATTGGCGAGCTATGGTTTTCAATTGGTGTTTTGGGTGTCTATGGTCCTCCAAAAATTCAAACAGAAAAGAGATGCTCGAGGAATTGGTGGCAGTGGCCTTCAAATGAAATGCCCTGTGGTGTTTAGGGTCTGATCTTAAAATCACCACTTTCCTTCAGAGAGGCTGGGTGGCCTGCACATCTCCAGATCCATGCAAATTTTTTTCAATTTTATTGATGATTTAGCTTTGTTGGATCTTCCTCTTATGGGGGGATGTTTCAATTGGTCTAATAACCTATAGGTTCCTTCCATGTCCCATATAGACAGATTTTTGGTCTATTCGAGTTAAGGAAAAACCATTTTATGAAGTGGTTCAGACCATGCTGAGTGACTGTAGAATATGTCAGATAAAAATCAGAACAGCAACCATCCATCAGCTGATCTGTTACTCAAAGACAAGGGCTCTAGACCTCGGGGAGATTTTAATCATGAGATATTACATCATCCTACGAATATGGACATGCATCTAGCAATGGTAGTATGCAATGGAAAAAGAGAAGAGGGAGAGAAGAGGGAGAGGGCCACAACCAAAACACAAAATGGCCAGAGTCTTCAATACTCAATATAAATCCAAAACTATATAATACAATGCAAACCCCAGTATTTACAAGTTAAAAACGTTAATCAAAATAAGAAACGGAAACCTATCATTATTGGACATTTAATCCCCATCCCCCTCCCCTCCCAATATAATAAGAAACTAAATATTGCTAATATCTTAATTAACTATAAATAAATGAAATAAACATAAATATTAAAAATAACATTATGAAATAAATTAAATATTCATCGTGCACACACGTTATGCATCAGCAAGAGTATGAAAAATGATAAGAAAAAATAAGATATTAGCAAACCTCAAACCACCCAAATGTTAACTTAGCATCAATTGGAAATAAGATAAGAAAAAATTGTTTGAGATGGTTGATCACATGCACTGAACACCAATAAATGAATTAGTAATGACTAAAGAATGGTGCGATTTAAAAAAAAAAAAAAAAAAAAAAAAAAAAAAAAAAAAAAAAAAAAAAAGAGGAAGACCAAGACAAAGATGGAATGAGGTTGTGAGGAGAGATAGCAAAGAACATATCTATCCTAGAAAATAATAAAGGGAAAACATTAAAAATAAAATAAAATGGAAAAGAAAACTCATAGTAGCAGACCCAAACTAGTTGGCTATTAAGGTGGTGGTGTTCAGTTGAGTTGGGAGGAGTGTTTTTATTTTTTAATTGATAAGATTGGTTTGGACATTATATAATCAAGCAGGATTGTTATATAAAAATAAATAAATAAACTTCTTTTACTATTTGTATATGGTAGAAATTTCTGGAGCAGTAACAGAAAGGAACAATAAGTTGGTAAAACCAATGCAAAATCCCACTCATTATTAGTACAATCAGGTGCTGAACAACCTGGGATTGTGCGGAAAGATAGTAAAGTAGTTATTAATCCTAGAAAATATTTGAAGGCCAACCAAATAAAAAAAAACAAAAAAAGAGAACTCATAGTAGTGAACCCAATGTAGTTGGCTATTAAGGTGGAAATCAGTTGAGTTGTTAAGAGATTTTTTTTCAATTAAAAAGATTTGGTAAGGTGTGCGGGAGGTTAGATAATCAAGCAGAGCGGTAAACCATTATTAGACACGAAAACACCCTCTTCTTACAGTTTGTATTGTATACGGTAAAAATAAGTTCTTATTCCACAAATTGCTGAAGCAGTAACAGAAATAAAAACAATAACTTCATCAAATAAATGTAAAAATCACACTCATTATTGCAATCAGATGCTGAACAAACTGGGATCAATCCACCTACAGCAAATTAAATAAATAAATGAATAAGAAAACAAATATCATCTGGTCAAATGGAAGTTCATCTAAAATGTAGATTAAGTTATGTCATACCAGGGCATCACTTCCAAACCAGTTCACCTTAATGAGAAGATTAGCAATCATCTTATAGAATAAATTCCCAATCAAAAGATCCAACATGTTAGAGGAAAGAGGAAATAGTTCATATATCACTTATTATAAACAATGGAAACAGTATTAAGAAAAATACAAACATGGAACTACAACATTACATAACCACACAGAGTTATTATCCACGGAGCATAATCAATACAATACACACCCAATTTTTTTCCCTGAGAAAGACTATAACATTGGTGAGAAAACATACCTGGCTAGGTATTTGTCTCTTGTAGAAAACAGATGACGAAGGGAATTCAACTTGGTATGACGGCAATGAATGAATATAGATCGAATATAGCCCCTGGTGCCCCTTAAAAAATCTCTCCCAAAGCTGTGCGAGTGGCAATGGCCCCTTAGTCAAGAACATGAATGCAATCTTCGGAACTCTCGTGAATGGATACTTCTTTATTCGCGGGGCAAAAGAAGCCATCCAAAGGAGCTCTTTGTCCGTCATTGAGTGCATCAAATTCGATGGAGGTCTGATCAATCGTTCTAAACTAGTAGGTTTAGGCTCTTCGACGCAAGGTTGGAAAATCGGCTTAACTGTGGCAATTTCACTATGAGCTCCGAAATACCGAGTTGTGTAGATACTAATGATTGAAAAGACCAAACACAAGAGCAGGAAGGCCACAAAACAGTGAAGCAACCTCTGTGGAAAGACCCTAGATAGGTTTGTTGTTGTTCTAGTTGTAACAGTAGGATCCTTGCCTTCCTCCATTGGCAATACCCTCGGTTGCATCTTCCACAACATAAACTATATCAAAATCTACCTTCTTCTACTACTTCAATTCCAATAACACAATTTCCACATAGAAAAACACTTCAAAAATCTCAAATTTTTTTCTAAATTCGCAACATTTAACCCAAAAATAGAAAACCCAGTATCCCAAATATCATTTTAGAACACTCTAAACAAAACCATGTGGGTATCGAATTAAGAAACTATATTTGGGAATACAAGCATACAGATCATGGGCATGAAATTCAAAAAACAATCGATATAAGATTGACATACCATGAGTAGTTGATGCTGATGAGAAGTCAATTTTAGAAGGGTTGGAACTCTACTTTCAGCCCTATTGTCTTCAATGATTGAATCACACCAGAATGTGTAGAGAAGACAAGGACTGGCCACGGAGATAGTGGTCAAAAATGAGAAAGTTGAGGGACAAGAGGGGGCGGAAAAGGTGAATCACAGAAAATAAAGGGGTTCGAACAAAATAACAATATTATACAGTAGATGTAGATGAAGAGTCCTCTATATATATATATATATATATGGGTAATGCTAGGTAGATCAAATTTTCTACTAAATAAATGATCAAATGTCTCACATGGATGTGGGGTCCGTAATTTTGTGAGTCTCACATCTATGTGAGACATTTAATCATTTATTTGATAAAAAATTTGATACCCCTAACATTTTTCTATAGAGAGAGAGAGACGAGGGGGATGAGGAAATCGAGGAGCGAGAGAGAAGATCGAGGAGATCTCCTTGGAGGATTGTTGAGAGCAAAGAATGTTTAGGACGTCACAAACACTTGCACACACGACACGAATTCACGTGAATACGGTGAGGGGTGGCCACTGTCTGGACTATTATTTGGCTGGGAAGTTATTTTAATTGGTTATTTAATTTTTTAATTATTTTAAATTTTATATGGTAATTTTTTGTTTAGTGAAAAAATTAAAAAGTTATTATAAATTATCATATTATTATATTTATTTTTTTACACATCTTTTTATAAAAAGTTAAAATTTTTTTAAAATATCATATTTTCAAACGAGACTTTAGGATTTATTTGGGAAGTGGGTTGGCTTTTTGATTTTTTAATTTTTTTAACCTGAAGTTAAAAAGTCTCGTTTAAGAAAGATTTTTGACTTTTTTGACTTTTTTATGAGATAAATAATGTAATAATTATTGATTGAATGTGATATTTTATTTTATTGGGTTAAATTTTTTTTTTTTTGTGACTATTTTAGCCAAAAAATGCCCAAACCCTCCATTCCCAAACGAGCTCTTAGTTTGGATAAAATACTTATGTTTGAAATTTTTTTTTTTTTTTTTTCGGTAGTTGATTTGATAGTGTGGTAAGAGAAAAAGTGAAATAATTATGAAGAATAATGTTTGAGAGGTTTAATTTGAGAGTTCTAATACAGTTCTAATGATGTGGAAAGTGCCTATGTAAAGATGAGACTCACACTTCTCTCTATCTCTCTATGCTCTCTCTCTCTTTTTTCCACTTCACTAAAGCTCTAGTATTAGAGTTATGTATCATTACTGAATTATGAGTTAGATATAAAATTTTATCTGATTGAATATTTTAACTTATTTTTATCTTTGGGTGAATTACACTAACGGTCCTTATAGTTTGGGACTTGTATCATTTTGGTCCCTGACTTTTCAATTATGATACATTTGACCATGAATTTTGAATCTTGTTCCAAATAAGGACAATTGAAAATGCCATTGGATTTTTCAAGGGGCAAAATTGTCAATTTGATAAAATATAAACTAATTTGACAAAAATAAATGTCAAAAAAATATTTTTGAATTTTTAAAAATTATTTCTACCCACTAAAGATAAAATTATGTAAAATTGATAAATCTTTTAGACATTTATTTATTTTACCAAATTATTTTTTATTATGTGTTTGGATGATAATCATGTCATAGATGGTTGTTTTGTATTCATTAAATTAGTTTCTATTTTTTCAAAAGTCAAATATGACGACAATTTTGATATCATTATTAAACTAATTTAGTAAATTAAAAATTCAAAATTAAAAATATTTCATATATTAAATGTATCGATTACACATTAAAAGCTTAACAATTGCTCATTACATTTTCATCATCTAAACATATAATTAAAATTAATTTTATAAAATAAATAAATAAATAAATAAATGTTTAAAAGATTTATCAATTTTACATAATTTTATCTTTGGACTGTAGAAATAATTTTTAAAAATTTAAAAATATTTTTTTGACATTTATTTTTGTCAAATTAGTTTATATTTTATCAAATTGACGATTTTACCCTTGAAATTAAGCAATGATATCTTCAATTATCCATATTTGAATCAAAATCAAATGTATTACAATTGAAAAATCATGAATCAAAGTGACACGAGTCCCAAACTATATAAACTATTAGAGCCTCCACAATGGACACACTAACGCGTTTGTTAGTGTCAGTTGCCAAGTTTTGGCTAGCAGCGGTGTGTGTTTGGGGTTGTAATGGAGTTGTTAGTGCGTGTGTTAGTGGGCTTCGTTAGCATCAGTTGCTAAATGGTTTGTTAACTGCGGCTAGCGCTTTAGGTAGCGAAGGGAAGTGTTTTTTTTGTCTTTGGGTTGACCGGCCGGTTGACCTCGTCAACGGAATTTATTTATTTATTTATTTTTTACTTGTTGAGATTTTTTTTTTTTGGACTTGAAATTTTTTATTAAACTAAATTATTTATTTATTTTATTTATTATACACACACACACACATATATATATATATATATATATTTTTAACACACACCTTAATACACCTCTTAACACATCCATCACCACTCACTCTCTAAAATTAACAAACTCTTAACACATCTTAACAAACATTTTTGGGCCCCACTTTTATCACTTTTTGTCATATAACACTTTAACAAATAATTTTGACTATCCTATTGTGAATGCCCTTAGTGTAATTCGCCCTTTATCTTTTAGTGGACCATTTTAGACTATCTCTCTTTCCAAACATCTCCTTTGTAAAAAATGTTGAGTATTATCATGGTAGAATTACGATAATTTATAATTCAGAAATAAAATTATGTACTATTTTTTTTTAGATATGTTCTATATTTTTTTATAGAAATATTTTTAACTACAAAGTGTATAATATTATCACAAAATATATAATTTCATTTATGAATCACAAATTATTTTAATTCTACAAGAAGATTACGTAATTTCTACCATAAAAATATGTAACATGTATTAAAAAAATGCGTAATAAGGTGCATATAAATATATTCAGTGTTACCTTTGTGTCAGTAGTAAGAAAATCTGATAAAAAATATGTTTATATACATCATTTTATTTTATTTTTATTTTTATCTTTTAAAAATAAAATAGATTTTTTTTTGACTAAAAGTGAAATAAGAATACATGTTTTCATTTTTTGCTTTCCTAAGATCTTGTCAAATTGCTTCACGGTAATCATTTAAAAAAATAAAATAAAATTGCTTCATGGTTCAAATTCTGATGATAAAAGGTTTTTATTTTGGGAAAATTAGTGAATTGAATGGCATAATTTTATGATAATGAGAAATTTATTGACTCATTTAATCCGCTGATATACAATGGTAGATGATGAAATCTCATCTTCAAATTTTAATGACTATTTTACTCTTGATTTAAATAGTTATAGACAAATATATATATATATATATATATATTTTTTGTGTGTGTGTGGATATTTAAATGGTATGCATATAAGTAGGGGTGTGCACGGTGCGGGTCGGTGCGGTTTGAGAGAAAAATAGAAACCGTATGGCGGGGGGCGGATTGATAAAAGTGTCACTAGAATTTGCCATTTTCCTTATCAAAAATCGGCGATTCGGTTGGCAAATAATGGCGGATTTGCCTTGACGGTTCGGGCAGATTGGCAGTTTATAAAAAATATAATTCAAATTACAAAACTTAAATCAAAGAGTAAAAAAAAAATGAGAGATACCGTGATGTTAAGCATCTTGCGAAGCTTTCTTCTGATGCAGCAAGTGTAGCAACAACATGATAATATCAACGACTATGCTATCAGTTCATTACAAGCATCTGTGGAAGCTACAATAATCAAATACAATACATAAAATTAATATCATTCAGGGTTTACAATATATTGAAAATGTTTACTGTTGAAAAGTATTTAGATTGAAAAGTGAGTTGATACAAGTTTGCAACATGGCCAAATAAAATAAAAAAAAAAAAGATTGAAAAGTGAATTGGAATCCAACTTTATTTTGGATTACTGACATCTTGAATTCCCCTCGAGCAGTAATGTAATACTATATTCTAAGGTATAGAACAACAAGCAAACTTAAGTAAAAAAGAATTTTTAGAATCTTATAAAACATGATTTAATAGCGGTGCGGGTCGGTGCGGTTTGGAAGAAAAATAGAAACCGGCGGATTGATAAAAGTGTCACTAGAATTTGTCATTTTTCTTACCAAAAACTGGCGGTTCGATTGGCAAATAATAACGAATTTGCCTTGGCGGTGCGGCTCGGTGCGGTTTTGGCGGTTTCGGCAGTATTATGCACACCCCTACATATAAGTGGTACATTTATGATATCATAAATGTTTTCTTATTTTGCGGAGATTTGTAGAATAAATGGTAAATTTTTCCTTTTAGTGTAAATATTCATACTAACAATAAATAAACGGTCGTGTTATATATATCAATTAGTATACTAATTAGTGTACCAACACTAATTATGACATTATTATTGACCCCACTCATTAATCATATTACAAATACCAAAAATCTCTTAAATTATGCCACATCATCAATTGGTATACTAGTTAGTATACGAATTGATGCATATAGCATTATTTATAAATAAAATATTAGGAAATTTTATTAAGATTTTATTATATAAATGACATATAATATTTTCATAATAGTTAAGATTCCTTAATATTTTCACAGAAAAATTTCGACTCAGAGATCCCAACACAGAGAAATTTCATCGAGAGACCTTATCTAATAAAATAAAATGTCTTGGATTTTTCTTACTACACAAAATTAAAGAGGGATGTTTCACAAATTTTTCTTAAAATAATATAAATTTTTGCACATCTAAAAAAACCATATTATTTATTCATTATAAATATGAATATTCATACTTATAAGTTTTACACTTATAATAAATCACATTATTATATATATACAGAAAAAGAGTCGGACTGTCTAGTTTTGGTGCTATATTATGTGTCATCTAATACTAGATGATGGGTTGATATTTAAAGGGTAAATGACTTTTCAATGGAACAATGGCAAAATAATTATATTTTTATGGTGACGTAATGTATGTGTAAATTTTTTTACGTGTTTGGTGTAACTCTTTTTATATTTCAGAGTTACAGAAAAAAATATCTTCATTTATAGTGTAATTATGTTATGATTGTCCCACCAATTTACCATTTGCCCATTATTCAAATTTGTATCAAGGCAACAACCCCATGCTTGAATAAGGTGA